GCAATATACATTTATTAGTATAAGGGAATATAGTTATTAGTATATGGCAATATAGGCATTAGTATATGGCAATGTAGAGTTATCAGTATATGGCAATATATTTCCTAGTATATTTGTATATGACAATATACAGTTGGTATATGGCAGTATAGTTATTAGTATATTAGTATATGACAATATAGTTATTAGTATGTGGTAATATAGTGATTAGTATATTAGTACTGTATATGACAATGTACAATTGGTATATGGCAATATATGGTTATTAGTATATGGTAGTATACAATTATACATATATGTGAATGTTTGACTTAGTATATGGCAATATACAATTATTAGTATATGACAATATACAGTTATTAGTATATGGCAATATCCAAGTATTATCATATGGCAATATACAGTTATTAGTATATGGCAATATACAGTTATTAGTATATGGCAATATACAGTTATTAGTATATTGCAATATCCAAGTATTATCATATGGCAATATACAGTTATTAGTATATGGCAATATACAGTTATTATTAGTATATGGCAGTACACATTTTTATTAGTATATGGCAATATACACTTATTAGTACATGGCAATATACAGCTCATGCACACTTAAGTATCAGTCTGTATATTTCAGCTTGTTTCGGTTTTAATTCTTTATGTAAATAAAACTATTAGACTCACAAAGATTTATTAGTGATTATTTAAAATCAAATTATATAAAAATGAAAGAAAATATTGGCAAGTGCAATACCAAATACATTGACACATTTCATATTGGAAATGCTTTCCTTGATCCCATTATGTTATCAGATTCTTTTCCCAGAACATACACACTGAAGAACAAACACACTGAAGAACATACATATTGAAGATCATACACACTGAAGAACATACATATTGAAGATCATACACACTGAAGAACATACACACTGAAGAACAAACACACTGAAGAACATACACACTGAAGAATATATACACTGAAGATCATACACACTGAAGAACATACACACTGAAGATCATACACACTGAAGATCATACACACTGAAGAACATACACATTGAAGATCATACACACTGAAGAACAAACACACTGAAGAACATACACACTGAAGAACATACACACTGAAGATCATACACACTGAAGAACAAACACACTGAAGAACATACACACTGAAGAACATACACACTGAAGATCATACACACTGAAGAACAAACACACTGAAGAACATACACACTGAAGAATATATACACTGAAGATCATACACACTGAAGAACATACACATTGAAGATCATACACACTGAAGAACATACACACTGAAGATCATACACACTGAAGAACATACACATTGAAGATCATACACACTGAAGAACAAACACACTGAAGAACATACACACTGAAGAACATACACACTGAAGATCATACACACTGAAGAACAAACACACTGAAGAACATACACACTGAAGAATATATACACTGAAGATCATACACACTGAAGAACATACATTGAAGATCATACACACTGAAGAACATACACACTGAAGATCATACACACTGAAGAACATACACATTGAAGATCATACACACTGAAGAACAAACACACTGAAGAACATACACACTGAAGAACATACACACTGAAGATCATACATACTGAAGAACAAACACACTGAAGAACATACACACTGAAGAACAAACACACTGAAGAACATACACACTGAAGAACATGCACACTGAAGATCATACACACTGAAGAACAAACACACTGAAGAACATACACACTGAAGAATATATACACTGAAGATCATACACACTGAAGAACATACACATTGAAGATCATACACACTGAAGAACATACACACTGAAGATCATACACACTGAAGAACATACACATTGAAGATCATACACACTGAAGAACATACACACTGAAGATCATACACACTGAAGAACATACACACTGAAGAACATACACATTGAAGATCATACACACTGAAGAACATACACACTGAAGATCATACACACTGAAGAATATACACACTGAAGATCATACACACTGCATGAAGATCATACACATTGAAGATCATACACACTGAAGAACATACACATTGAATATCATACACACTGAAGAACATACACACTGAAGATCATACACACTGAAGATCATACACACTGAAGAACATACACACTGATGAACAAACTGCTGTTAATTTTGTGAACAGCAACTTTCTTTTTGTGATTTTCATTGATTCTGGTAAACCATCATGTTATTAATCATGAATTCGCATTTATAACCAGACCTAAACCATTAAACTTGTATAGAAGTATGCTTTCTGCCTTCAAGTATTGATACAAAATATGCAATCACTCCTACCATTACGTAGGGATATAATTTTGTTTTATGAAAATAAGTATCAGTTAAAGCAGAGACTCATAATTCGACTGATATTATATCTATTAAAGAAAATTGTCATTAGGGTTTCTTAAGGTACTTTGTACTGTCTAGATACCCAAAATCCACACTTCACATACAAACAGTATAAACCATTCATACTTTTTCATTCAGAGTTCTGATTGGCAGAACAGGTCAGAAATGTTCATCAGTAATATAACCTACTGGTTTCCTCACAATGATTTCAGCTCCGCAAAACAGTATTCTGCTTGCGTGGAGATATTTTTAGATAATGGCATACAAATATTATGGACTTTATATCGCTTATATATAGTTTTTTTGAGCTATGAAATACAGCTATTATTCTTCATCGTAATACTGCCATTGGGATCCATAGCATGCTACATTATCATGAGATGACCTTATAATGAGGTACATGACACATATAATTTTACTTACTTTTAAATCTTACTGGTCATGTGCTATAATTAATGGCCTTATAGTGAGGTAATACAGTATTGTTCTCCACATTGGCTGATATCATATATTATAGCTCAATAAAACAATGTATTGAACATGAGACGAACCAATAATTTTATATTATCGTCTGTTTTGTGAGGATGAGGTGTATACTCTATCATGCATAATAGATGTCAGGCTGCTAAATGCAGAGAGCCAGATCTCACTGAATTGTGTACCAGCAGATAAGGGCTTTTATGATACAAATTATATGAGGTACTTTTCATTAGCTGACTGTTTACACATAACTCCATTTATGGTTTGTGTAGTAAGAACTGTACATTAGTAAAACTGTATTGATTTCCTCACGATGTCATCAGCCCTGCAAAACAATTGATGTGCTTGTATGGGGATATTATTAGATCTTGGTATGAAAACAGTAAAACAAATATGGGATTTTGTTTTGCTTAATCATTGATTAATAGCAGTAATTTACATTTTGCTGTTGCATTTCTTTTTTGGGATTTGTAGTTCCCCATACAACCCAATTAAGCCCTCATTCAGTTGGGATTGGAAGTGAGAGCATATCGCTCATAAAAATTACCTATATTCATATGTATTTTTGGGAGTTTGGTTGTATTTACTTGACTGCAGTGTGGGGGATTGGATTGGCATCCTTCCTTTTTTTTATCCCTATTATTTCCTATGGGTATGGGAACCTCCTTTCAAGGAAGTGAGTCTTCCTTCTCCTCCTCCTTCCCCCAATGGCATTATGGTAAGATAGATATGATGGGCAGTGGACTTGCTCTGTGCAGTCCTCATGGAATGATTTCTACACTCTTTTGTCTTTTGAGTACTAGATCAGCTCTGTGCAGTCCTCATGGAATGATTTCTACACTCTTGTCTTTTGAGTACTAGGTCAGCTCTGTGCAGTCCTCATGGAATGATTTTTATACTCTTGTCTTTTGAGTACTAGGTCAGCTCTGTGCAGTCCTCATGGAATGATTTTTACACTCTTTTGTCTTTTGAGTACAAGATCAAAAGGTCTGGGCAACAGACATTTTGACTGAAAATATGTCTGTATGCCTACATCTTCCCACTTTTTGTAGTGATGCCATATTTGGTCCACCAGGTCAAGATTTCCACTGCTTGGTTCATCTGCTGGTAGACCCCATTTGCCCCAATGGTGACCATGGTTCAGCAACTTACCTGTTTTTAGATGAGTCCAGGAGATTTGTACAAGGATGGGACCTGATGTTGCAGCAGAGGGCTTATCTGCTCTACTTGAACCAGTCTTCAAGTATGGTTACATCATCCAGTCTGAAGCAATTACATATACTTCCAAGATTTATAATGCAGAGTGGAGAATCTTCTGTGATTGATATAGTAGGAAACCTGTTTATCCTAACAGTTCCCATTTGTGTGTGCAATTACACATGTTCTTCTCTTTCTTTTCAAGGCAAAAAATGTTCCATATCCACTATCAATAGCCATGTATGGTAGCTTTTAATGCTCTAAAATTCCCAAAGGATTCTGTTGTTGTTGTTGTTGTTGTTGTTGGGCTTAACGCCATTTTTCAGCACATGATAGGCTATTCATGGCGGCTAGTATTAATGGTGGAGGAAGAAACCGGGAAATCACCGGAAAGAACCACCGACCCACGAGAAGCTACTGGCAAGCTTTCTCACAAATCCACATTCGCCGAATCCTAGACTCGAACCCACGCAGACAGAGGTGAGATGGCAGTGATCCATAACGGACTGCACTTTAGACCACTCGGCCACTCGGGGCCCCCCCAAAGGATTCTGCATTTCAATCAGATCCTCATTTTTATGCTCACAACAGGTATTTTGAGTTTTAGAGTCTATGATCTTGCTCACTAATGCCTCGATCAAATCTTACATGCGTTCCTTGGGCATTGTTAAATTCCATTTTAAACCATTGTGCAAAGGTTTTTTGGAGAACGTTACTCTTAAAGCTGCTTTTTTGCTCTTTAGAGTTTATGAAGAGATGGAGCACATCATGCCTGGTCCATGGAAAAGGGATTTATGGATTTATGGATCAGTAGTGATTATTATTTTTTTATGTTTCTTTGCCAACCTGGGATTCTAACCAAGAATCAGCTACCTTCATTAACTCAACTTCTTAATACTCTGGTGGCCTAGTGGTTAGAGCATCTGCCTTGAATGCAGGAGGTTATGGGTTTGAACCCTTGCTGAATCATATGAAAGACTGAAAAGAATGGTACTAGTAGGACTGGTTGGTATGGTAGGACTGGTTGGCATGGTATCAGGATAATGGGATTGGGTGGTACATGTCTGTATCATGATGCCTCAGTACTAGACATCACTATAAAGTGCTCACTGCAGACATCATAGCACTCGGACTGAAAAATTGTTAAAGCTACATTAAAATTCCAAATATCACACACACATTCTTCTGGGGTTGATTAAGATAGACTTCTTTGCCTAGTTAGGGCCTTAAAATTTATTTGGTTTCTCCTAAAGGAAGGGTTAAAATTGTCTCCTACCTATTAATGTATCCACAGAGTATGTCTTCACTGTCAATCAAGCTTGTATTTGAACCATATTATAGGACATAATATGGTTGATCAAGTTAGCAGTATAGACTGTTTTGCCGATTTCAAGTTAGCAGTATATAATCTGTTCTGGTTGATACATTATGTGGTAGTAGGTCAAGTAGACATTGTGTACCATAATCTGCTGGTACATGATGTGATGGTGCATTATCTGCTGGTACATTATATGATGGTAGGTCAAGTCAACAGGGTACAACTTGATATGCTGTTGTTGTTGTTGAGCTTAACGCCATTTTTCAGCATATGATAGGCTATTCATGGCGGCCAGTATTAATTGTGGAGGAAGAAACCAGCAAATCACTGGAAAGAACCACCGACCCACGAGAAGCTACTGGCAAGCTTTCTCACATATCTACATTTGCCGAATCCTAGACTCGAACCCATGCAGACAGAGGTGAGATGGCAGTGATCCATAACGGACAGCGCTTTAGACCACTCGGGGCCCCACTTGATATGCAGAAACATCATGTGATGACAGATCAAGTGAGCAGTATATACACTGATCTGTGGATACATTATGCAATGATAGACCAGTTATACACTCAGATCTGTGGATACATTATGAGACCTGGTTCTGTGTTGTTAGTAGTTGACAGCATGTTATACATGGATAATTTAAGCTAGACAACTCACAATTGATAGAAATGCTAATCCGTCACTCATATATGTTTTATGGCACAGGCTTCAATTATGCTGCCAGTACTTGTTTGTTGTTGTTTGTTTGTTGTTGGGCTTAACGCCATTTTTCAGCACACGATAGGCTATTCATGGCAGCCAGTATTAATGGTAGAGGAAAATCACCGGAAAGAACTACCGACCCACGAGAAGCTACTGGCAAGCTTTCTCACATATCCACATTCGCCGAATCTTAGACTTGAACCCACGCAGACAGAGGTGAGATGGCAGTGATCTGTAACGGAAAGCGCTTTAGACCACTCGGCCACTCGTGCCTGCCAGTACTTGTGCAATCACGAACATTTGATACTAAATGGCCTTGAAATTTTTATTTCTGAAGAAAACCAAATATTATCTGGGAATGCAAAATGGTATGTTCACTGAAGAGTAATTTCCATTGGTAAATGTCCATCTTTTTTTAAAGGAAATATTTTTCAAAAAGTCCATCAATTCAGTTTTTTTTCATTTCTTATATTCATTTATACTTTGTTACAAATATATTTGATACAGATGGTAAGAATTATTCATGGGAAATTAATATGTACAATAAATTGGCTTATATGGTTGTGGAATTTCTTACTTTTATTAACATAAAGTTATCTTTTCCATATGGCATAGAGTTATCGTTTCCTTATCACAATGTTATCTTTTCTTATGTCTGAGTTATCTTTTCCTTATGACAGAGTTATCTTTTCCTTATTACTCAGATATTAACTCTTGAGTTATATATAGCACAACTTCATAAATCTCAGTTACACAACATGTCATCTGCTTACATATTTTCCATTACTATCAGATTATTAACACACTTTTGAATAAGTTTCCTGCATAGTAATCTTGCACTGGTAGATCTTAGAAAAAGATTACAATGTACTAATTATTCTATTAACTGGGTCTGGCTAGTTTTCATTTCTATACAGTAAGACATAAATCATAACTAAAGAACCAACACATGTCTCTATTGGAACATTTTATTTACAAAGATTGTCTCACATAACAATGTTCTCTGACTGCATGAAATCTTTTTTGTTAAATGTTATAAATTCAGTATTTTCAATGCATGGTTATCATCATCCTGTTAAATCATGTGTGCCTGGAGAATGATTTTTTTTTTTGTCATGAATTTGCATGAAAATATCAGTATTTGACATAGAAAGGGAGATAACTTTCCAACAGCATTTGGAAAGAGATCTAGTTCTCTACCTTGAGTTGTTTTTGGTTACATTTTTATCACATCATTACCATCACTAATATATATATATATATATATATATATATATATATATATATATATATATATATATATATATATATATATATATATATATAATTTAAACTTTTGCACAAATGGTGCATTTAAAATTCTAACAGCATGCTTGGCAGTATCATTATATAATAGCAGCATGTTTTGCATATCTTTTCTTGCATGTTACACAATAAATACTTGCACCCAAGTCCCAACTACAAATTGCATAGAAGCAGAAAAGCTGTTGCATAATGCAACTGTAGATTTGGGTATATGTTGTTTGCTCTACTTGCAAAACTATATCGACCTAGATCTGTAGTTGCATTATGTGATGGCAGAGCTGAATCTATGCAGATTGCAGTTGAACCCGACTTTTATGTGAATATACATTATCAGACAAATACGTTTCATGTCTGATCCTAAACAACCAGAATCAAGAGAAAGAACAGTTTGCTAATGAGACACAGATGGAACCACAAAATTTGTCCATTTTATTGAGGTGGACTGTCTAAGCAGGTTTTATTAGTATTATTATAATGGCCTTACTTGGACCAGTGTATGTAGCCATGGTTTAGGAAGGTTTTATTGTACTGTACATTTGCTCTCATTTCAGTTTTTCACACACAGGCTTGCACAATTAATGCTGTATATTTATAATTTTTCTTTTATGCTCCCTTTTGATAAGGACATATTGTTTTGTTCGTGTACCCATCTTGAGTCCTGAATCCATTTTAGCATAGAACTAACTTACAGCCATGTAAGCCATGGTTAGACTTTCAGGCCATTTAAGTATTTCATAGTGGGTAGGGGTAGCTTGATTTGGTCATGTCTGTCTCTCCATCCATAATTCTGCAATGTTCAACATATGTTTTTGGATTTTGGTTCAGGAGTTCAGCCCTCTGGCCCCCACTTTTGGACAAAGGTTAATATGAAACATTGGTATATTGCTTAAATTAATCAAACTATTTTATCTCATGATGGGACAACTAAAATACAAATCTTAAAAGTCAGGGGTTTTCTATATTAACTCCAAACCAAATTATTCATGTTGTTTGATTTTTCCTTTCCAATTATGTTAACTATCAGTACAAGAGAATAATGTAAATTATCAATGGATGGGTGGGTGGGTGGGGGTGGTTGGGGAAGACATATTTTTACATGTAAAAAAAAAATTCCTTTCTAGTATGTATTAAAATGTAGATGACCTGATTGAATTTTTAAACCATTGCAATTAAATTATTATTATATTTTTAACTTATTGGATTGGGACATTTTTTTTAAAACCTTGTTTGGATGATGGAGCCAAACAAACTCAAGGCACATAGATTAAACATAGTAGGCATAATTTTATTCATATGTAAATAACCCTAATTAGCCATTAAAATAATTTATACTAGCCATTAAAATAATTTATACTAGCCATTAAAATAATTTATACTAGCCATTAAAATAATTTATACTAGCCATTAAAATAATTTATTCTAGCCATTAAAATAATTTATACTAGCCATTAAAATAATTTATACATTTTTACACATATTTTGAACTTCTAGAACCTACCTGATAGACTTTAGAAAAAAAAAGAAAACTTTCTTTGCAGTATTAGGCAGAAAGTTTGTGAGGTAGACAAATGAAATTTGGTAGGCATTTTTTTTCATATAGATAATCTGATCAGATTTTCAGGCCATTATAATAGTTATATATATTTTTTCAATATTTTTTTATTATACTTAGATGTATCATGTGCACTCGCTGATGAGTCAATTCAAACTAAAATGAATGTCATCTAATATTTCCTCATTTTAATAGCCACCTTTTGATAATTAGACTTTCCTACCATAGGTCATGAAAATTGATATTGATTTTATAGGTTGTAAAATTTAAAGTGAATTGTTTATGGATGTATGTACGCATGATGGAGAGGACAAAAGGAATAAGGCTCTGAAGGTTTTGTTATCAAGCTTAAAATGAAATTTGTACTTGTATTATTCAGAGGTAGACAACCAGTACCATCTATACTCGGTTATAAAACCAACTGCAAACTGCACAAATCCCGTTGTACTATCATATAATGCACTGGCAGATCTGGATCTGTGCTGTTTTTGAGTAATATGTGGAACAGCAGATCAGGGTCTGTGGGGTTTGCACTCAACTAATAAGCAAGTATAGATGGTATTTGCTCAGGATTGTGCTTTTACGAAATTACTTAGCATTTTTGTAAAACAGAGTTTTCATGATACTGCTTCAGACAATGCAGATACAGCATTAACATTGTTATCAGTGGTAGAGAGTTGTAGCAAGGGGAAATAACTCTGAAGTTTTTAAATTGTATACATGAAAGTTATCCTAGAACAGGCCCGGGAAATTCATTAAATGTGAGGATATGTGCAAAAATACTCCTTTACTACAAATGTAAGGTCTTATGAAATTTTTTAATCCTTGATGTTAACTGAGTATTTATTAAAAATAAACTTTATTGTTACCAATCAAGCAGTAACACAGATGTAAACATGTCTATGTTTGAAGAATGACAATTTGAGATCCTTAGTTTAACTGGGGACAGTTTTCTTAATCAAGAAATCTTGAAATTCAAATAAAATTAAGAGTCCCAGTAGTATTAACTGATATTATGTCTGTAGAGAAAACAAACATTTGATGGCTGTGATCTTAAATTTCAGTAGTTTCAAGCTCAACTCTGATTAA